CTACAGAGTGTTCTATATGCAAAACGATGCAATAGTGACAAGTTACGTTGAGGAACTTCGAAGCCGAGCCGGCCAATCCCCAGCTGCAGTTTCTCGGAGTCAGCAACGGGAGATTCCAGAGTTTGGGTTTGAACATGGGGCTTTGGCCCCCTCCCCTCAGTGTCGCTTCATGTCGAAGCCGAAAGCTTCAGCAGTCGCCCGGCCTACGAATACTCTATCTGTACATTCTATATCTTATACATTTTATACTATGTACTATATGTTAAACACTATATACTATATATACTATATACTATATACTATATTATGAGACCAAGTGCTGGCTCTTGCCCATGAGCCTGTTCACTAGGCGATCACGTCTTCTTGCCATCCTGGAGCTGCACGACCTGTGGAAGGAGGGCCTGAAGTGCGTGACATTGCCGTTGAAACATGCCAAGCTGACTGACTGCCTGACATAGAGGACACTCTGTATCACCGCTCAGAGAGACCCCGATACGGTTCTGGAATCTACAGTATTTGCTTCATTCTTGGATCCGATTTGCTGACATTCTGTTCCTGTTGTAAAAATTGGCTGCCTGGCAGGATCAGGAAAGTCAACGAAGACAAGTACTCCGTAGCACACACATGGAGCAGGACCCGCGATGCAAAGGGTTTCGTGGCTTTGGGAAGTGAAGCGTTGCAACCTCAGGAGTAAAGGCGTCGTGACGCAGCACCCTGCAATCCCCCAAGGGTCGACAGTAGGCTCACATGCCCTACAAGCGCATACCCTGCACGGGCTTGACATTTGTTTATCATCGCCTGTCGTTCGATCGCGAAAAGGTCAGACCTGCAGACTGGGTTGACTTGCTCGCGCAATTACTGTGATTCAATTTGACCTTGCTTGGGGTTTCAGGTAACATTGCTACTATACGTGCTGCCGGAATCTCATCTGAACATGTCATGGGGATATTACAAGTAAGTGTGGCGCAGGTGTACGATCCATTCAGTGATGCATCCGTGCCTGTGGCTGGGTTGCAGCCAGCATGGAAGTAAAGCAGCACAGTTGGAACTAGAAGGCGAACCAGCTCCAACCACAAATCACCACAACGCCTGCATGGACTCGCCAAGTTGTGTGTTGTATATGAAATTCCAGCTACAGCCGCAGCATCAGAAAATTGCACGAACATGGCACAGATCTGCGCTGCAGTTTTGTAATGTAAAGTAAGTCAATCTGCGTGCGTGTGTTGTTTATGAATGAGGATGTATGTACTCACTGCTGTAATAATAGTGTAAAGATGTAGACATCGACATGTGTCGGATGTTGTACTTGGTAACTGGTACATACATACGTCACAAAACAACAATCAAGCAGTGGCCTGCCACGAAAGCGTTTGCATGGATCCTAAGGAACTTGCCGTACCCCCGGTCGCTTCTGCAGGCCTGCGGGAGTATGTGCGGCAATGCTCACCTCTCCCTCGCTCCCTCGCTCCCTCGCTCCCTCGCTCCCGCTCTCTCTCTCTCCCTCTCTCTCTCTCTCTCTCTCTCTCTCTCTCTCTCTCTCCCTCCCTGCTCTCTCTCTCTCTCTCTCTCTCTCTCTCTCTCTCTCTCTCTCTCTCTCTCTCTCTCTCTCTCTCTCTCTCTCTCTCTCTCTCTCTCTCTCTCTCTCTCTCTCTCTCTCTCTCTCTCTCTCTCTCTCTCTGTCGCTCTGTCTCTCTCTGTCTCTCTGTCTCTCTCTCTCTCTCTCTCTCTCTGTGCTTGCATCTTTTTCTTCCGTGCACATGCATTTGCCGCCCACCAAAAATGTTCTCCCTAGCCCGAAGCCCATCACTGCCAATCACCGAATGCTTCATAATCCAGCTACCTGCAAGGAAAGAGACAGTAAGTCCATGCCATGCGATCCCTCGGTCTATACAGGCCCAGCTCATACAGCAGGGGACGATGTGAAGCCGGCCATGCCCAGCGACGAGCCCCAGGAGGCAAGTGTTTGCAAATTGGATGCCTTGCGTAGATAGAGGCTTCTTACGGCTTGTTCCTGTCTTGGCAATTCGGATTCGGAACTGACTGAAAGCTGTTGTGCCAGGGGCCAGGGATATTGATCTTGGGGCTGCGGCTTTTCAAGATTTTCGTGTATCTTGGAATTTTGCGGCAATTCTTCCGTCCAGCTGAGGGGGTGGTGGCTTGCACCGTTTTTTGTTGATTCAATCGTTTTGTAGTGGCGCACTGCTGGGTTTGGGGAATTGGGATGGTGTCATCGTAGGTGGGAGCCGGCAGCTTCAAGGCTTGAGGCTGCAAGCGGAAGTTGTTGATCGCACAGGAGTCGCACACGCATATACATATATGTGCACGTGTGTACAAATTACGTACAGACATATGCATGCAAAGACCTGGATGATCTGATGGGCACTTCTCCAAAACTTGCCGTATGAAAGGCCACGTGTTTCAAGCATGTGATGCTGGACAAAGACCGGCATTTTGGTCCGGGCGGGTTTTGGCATCGAACGCGGCATGGACAGGTCCGCCAGAGAGAGAGAGAAAGACACAGAGAGACGCCAGTGCTGACAAGCCCTATACAAGTGCTTTGGGTTGCGCTTGCGAGTGCTCCAGTTGACAGGCATCCGCCGAAAGAGAAGCTCCGCCTGCAGAGGTTGATGCAGGCACGGTTGCAGAGACCGGTCTACGGCGAGTCTACGCTCGGTAGCCGCACATACAGTGCACTGCTTGCCAGCAGGCATAGCACCGGGGCCAGAGGCAGAAGACCGGGCGATCTATCCAGAAGCTGCAGATGCAGCTCCCGAGCCAGAGCAGGAGCACGTGACCAACTGACTTGAATGCGGCTATAGCGTGAGCGAGTGTACCATCGCATGTCCACTAAAGTATACAGGACAGTGAGGGTTCGTAGTTGGGGATGCTCAAATCTCGAGGCGTCCACCTTTGACGAGCGCAGTCTTTGCTTGAGTTTTCGAGACATATCTCGGCTTCGATGCGACGCTGCGCTTCTTGCTGTCAACGGCGGTGGTTCGGGTGGCAGGAAGCGGCAGCTGCCGAGGAGGCCCCAATGCCCACTGATGCCGGAGGCGCGGGTCTCGTGCCAGCTAGTCACCCCTGTGTGTTCCGTTTTTGTTTCGATTGCGTCATCGGCATGTTGAGAGGCGCTGAGGCTGCGGAGGAGGAAGATGACGCTCTTTGAATGCAATACTGTCGCATTCGTCAACATGGAGTTGGACGGCTGTGCCAAAAGAGTTGATCGCAGCACTACTGTAGCCGGCCCTGCAGACTCAACCAGTCTACGGTTCGGAGTAGAGTAGAGATCACTTCTCCGGAATCAGCATCGAGCCACGCGCGCAATAACATGGATTCGCGCTGCACAATGCTCAGTGTCGAGGCAGCCTCCGACCAAGCAGCAGAGGACACCTTCTGCAGCATGAGGTTGTGGTATGTACGTGTGTATGTATGCATGTATATAATTATATAATGTATGCAGCATGTACACATGTATGTATGTCTGTATATATATATATATATACATACATATAATATATTTAATATATATATATATATATATATATGCATAATATACACAGTACACATACACACATTCACATGCAGATGTCTTGTCAAAGTTTTATTGGGAGCCTGCTGCAACTTGGGCTAGCTCCGTCATGGCCGTTTTACAGCAGGAATCGGAACTGTGGAGCAGAAGACCACAAATGCCCCGCTGTCTAGTGGAGGCTTCCTTTGCATCGTTGGGCTCCTTCCTCAAGTTGGTGCGACACACTGGGCTTTTTTGGGGGTGTGGGAGTCAAGGAGCAGCTGCGCGCCGCTCTGCAGCAGAGGCAGCACCTCGCGGACAAGGCTTTGGGTGTGCGTGGCATGGTCGGGTTTATGCAGAAGTCCGACGTATTTGGTTCACGAGTTCGAAGACTCCCCTAAAACCCATCTAAAACCCTAAACCCTGGTGCTCAAAGGCATCTTAAAGCAATCGAGACCGGAACCCCACAAAATCGGTCGCTTGCGAGCGGGAGGCCCCCGAAACTCCGCTGGAGGACTCCGAGGCTGCTTGGCGAGGCTTCGTTTCCAGAGGGTCAATACTAATATTAATGCTAATGATCTGCTAATGCTAATACTAACACTAATACCAATATTAATGCTAATATTAAAGGGTACTAGTACCAAGAGCCAAAAACTAATATTAATACTGGATGTGCGACGACAGACTTTCCGAAATGCAGCTCGACGAAGGCAGTCGCACGAACGTTGTGACCGGTTCGATCCGGACTGAGCGCCAAGACACAAGATAGACACAAGTGTCAAGCATGGTGTCACACAAACTTTCAATGATTGACGCGGTCTTTCTGCCTCCGGAGTCATCAGGTTGCATGCCTTCATGCACGCTCTGCAGGGTCGGTTGTAAACATTGTGGGGAATCTTCTGCCTAGGCAACCGTGGGGTTTGCAGCTTGCAGCTCATCTGAGTATGGTGCTTCAGCGGCGGCGTTGGCAGCTGCCGTGATGGAGCTCGCGGAGAACTTCCAGGAGATGGGCTGATGGGGCTCCGTAGCAAGCCGGGGAGCGGGGCTCCCAAGCAAGCGTATAAGACTGTATATAAGACCCCATGACGGCTAAATCTGAATTTCTTCGCGGACTGTGATTGCTGCGTAAGGCAGCAAACAGAGCTGTTTGCATGGAAGCTTTCCGCGCTGTTCTGTATCAGGTGTATGAAAAAAGAGGCCAGCACTGTTCTAGATCCTTCAGGCACCTACAGGCTGCAGTTGAGACAGTTAGGTGTTGAAGGCAGGGCCGCTCACCTAAGTTTGCGCTGGCGAGCGACAGGAGGGAGATGATCCTGGTCCTTTGCTGCTTGCGGTGGATCAAGTAGAAGGCGTCCTGGAGGCTGGCAGACAAGTGTGAATCGGTGGAGTCGGCCAAGACTCGCAAGCATCCTTTTATAAAAACCCTTTGCTGTTTTGAGTGCTGCCCGCTTAATGCGATCCTTTCATATATAGCGGGTTGACACATCTTAGTATGCCGTGCCAGGCTTTGACGGGTGGCGAGGAGGTGCCTGGCAGCCAGCTGCACGCTTTTCGAAGTAGTCGTAGGTCTGTCTCGGTTCGTCCTCTCTGTCTCCCAGGCGCTTGAGAAGCAGACAGAGAGGGACACAGAGGGATGGAGAGGGAGGAGAGGGAAGGTCCCTGAAGTTCAAGCGAGTTGCCTGACTGCGCTTGCATCTGACACAAAAGACAAAAGACACACTGGCACAGAAACAGGAAACAGTTGAACGAAGATGCAAGACAAAGATGAAGATAGCCGAGGAACGATATCAGGCCTCAGAGATGAGGAAACCGACGAAGCAGGGACCAATTTTTTTGTATTCCTACTCTAGCATGCCGGGGGGGTCCCATCCACTTTCTTCCGGAAGATGGCAAGGCAAGGAGAAGAAGGAAACGAAGCCAATGCAAGAACACTGCAGACGGCATGGCAAATGTACTGCGACGCAACTGCACCTAAGAGCTAGGTGCGACATCCAGCGAGAATCGGGGTCAATATCCCTTGGCTTCCCTGAACTATTTGTCGGTCTGTCCGCTTTCCTTGCAAAGTGCAGTGCATATTAATGAGGTGCGCATGCATGCATGCATACATGCATATGTAGCATGAACAGTGTGGGTACAACTTGCGATTGGCCATGTACCAAAAAGATGTGATGCAAGTTTGTCGCGCTTTTGCGGAATTACGACAACCCGCCGCAGTACTCTATGCGTTTGGTTTGTTCCGGACCTGATTCTGCAGTGCAGCTTGAACTATTTCCGCCTTTATGTATGGCATTATGCTGCGATTGTAATGTACTACATAGTTCGTTCTTGATGACTATCGTTTGGGATCGGATGCTTGACCCTCACGTTCTCGGCAGGTGACCGAAACAGATCCCGAGGCATGCGCTCTTCGGGATTTGCCGGGGTGTGGCCGGTTCCGTCTCCACCATCCAGAAAGGGACGATGAGACCGCATGGATGATCATGGATACTAAAAGGATATACGATGAGAATTGACAGGCTTCGGGCTCCAACAGACTCCACTACTCTGAAAGCTTGGGCACAGCGGCCTAGCTCTTTTGCATGAAAAGCCCTGCAAATCAACAGCTTGGCAGAGATCTTGTCGAAATCGGAAGCATTATCTCTTGCAGGGTTTGTTGCTTCTCTTGTGCAACCAGCTTCTGCAGGCCAACTGTTCGCTGGGTAGCTAAAGATACTTCACAAGATTTCTTGATATACCAGGGCCAGTCATGCTTCATGGTCGCCTAAAGCTTCGTTTGAGGAGGCCGTGGATGGCTTCGCGGCCTTGGCAAAGGCTCGCATCCCACAGCTCTTGTTCTACTCATTCCACTCGCCCTCGTCCCCTATTGGCCTTGTTCCCGTTTGTGCTGGGCGTTACTGTGGTGTCTTTTAAGCTTGCTGAATGATGGAAATCACACTGGCAGGGCGGCGTCTGGTTTGATGTTGCTGGCGGTAGGCGGTCGAGTGCCCTTGCAAAGGGCGTGGCACAAGGAGGTGCAAGCACCCAACACCCCTGCAGGCCTTGGCCGAGGCGGAGCGTCCCTTGGATTGTGACAGGTTTTCCGTTGGCAGGTTGCTTTATCTCATTCTTGCTGTGAACGTATTGGGCTGCCTGTTATGTACTCGACCCCGAAGCCGAAGCGAAGCTTGTAGAGAGAGAGAGAGAGAGCTTCAGGCGAGGAGGCTGAAGCAGAAGCAGCTGCAGTGGTCGTGGATGTTGACGCCCCGGCGATGCTCGGAATAATTAAACAAAGATGTTTTGAGATGTTGAAGCAGAATAACAACAATAATAACAATAATAATAATAATGATAATAATAGTAGTAACAATAATAATAATGATAATAATAGTTACGGGCCATGACTGTTTGCTTCACTGCGGAGGCCACGGAAGCGCCGAAGGTTCTGAGCCTCAACCGCCTCGAGCCATGTACATAGCTTACGCACAGAGCTGTTTCTCAAACCAACGAGCTTCCGAATGCACCGAAGCTTCACGAGATCTGCGGTGTCATCGAAATCAGCTGGATTCAAGTTTGAGGAATGTGCTCCTCTCAGACTCGACCTGGCAGTGCTGAAGCCTGCTGAAGCTCTCGGCGCATCACAATCTTCAGCTTGGAGCTTCGCCTGTCTGAGGGTTAGGTCTAGGGCCGACGCCAGACTCCCGGGCCATGGGTTCAGAAAAACCGACCTGTTGCTCATGCACATGAGTCGCAAAGGGGCATGCCTGTGGGCTGCTATGGGCTAAATATGGTTAAAGCGGATTCAGCAGCCGCTATATAGCTCGTGGAGTCTCGGGGCACGTCGGGATGTTAGAGAGCACTAGACACACGGCCTGCAAGCCACCAGAGCAGACAGGAACTGAGACCTCTAGGTTTCGGATGCGCGGAAGCAGTAGATTGGTACTCGGGCAGTTGTTTATTTAGAGGACTGCGCTCGAACACGGACCAGCGATCCAGTCGGAGTAGTTGCGTCGCTGTGTTGACTGATCTCATCGGTACATCCATACCAAAACTCATCTATGTCCGTGACTGAATACGAAGAACCTCCAGGTCAGCATCAAGAATCGGACGAGTTGGAATGTTACCCCAAACACAACTGGTAAGGCCAGCCACGCAGAGCGGCAAGTGCGGGCATTGCGGACAGCGAGTTCGGTGCTTGGCATTGTGTTGGGCGCTTTTGTCGCATCATGTTGTTCAGTGGCAACGAATCGACCCGCTTTGGCTGGTGACAGGCTGTCAGAGATGCCACTGCCTCCCACGCCTGCGACGGCCAGCAACCAGGCCGTCGTCAGTCACATCGGAAAACTTGTAGTTGGTTTGCAGCTGAAGAACCGTAGCAGTGTCAGCACCGCATGCAGGACAGCGGTTCAGCTTGAATGATCACGAGGAACGTGACATTGTGTACCACTACATTGAGCAAGCATAAGAGGAGTTGCTTGCCAGGGTTGGTTAGCGGTAAGGTGCTTGATGTCCACGAAGCGGTCTTGAAAACAAGCCTCTACAGGTGGCGTTTCCCGCAAGGCTTAATCTGTGCACCTCTTTATTAACCCTGTTCCGAACCATCGGCATGTGTATGTGCACAGGCTACTGCAGCCAGCTCCTGAAAGTCTCAGTGTCTCAGTTGTCTTGCTGCTTCAGACATCTATAGCCAAGTTAATTCTTTCACAAATCTATCCAAGGAGGATTTCTGCTGCCTCCGTTGTGTGCACCAAGTGTGCCGGCACCGACAGGTCTCGGCATCTGCCAGCACAGGGCCGGTCAGGTCGTCTCCTGCCGAGGCCCAACTGCTCAGGGCCGATCCCTGCAATGTCCGGCTACGATACCACTACTACTACTACTACTACTACTACTACTACTACTACTACTACTACTACTACTACTACTACTACTACTACTACTCCTGCTACTACTACTACTACTACGACGACGACTACAACTACCACTGCTGTACCACTAGTCACTACTACTCCTTTTCTGTTGCTATTCACTGTTACTAGTACTATTACCATCACGACGACGACGACGACGACGACTACTACTACTACTACTGCGGATATATTCTTACTATCGGAGCTAGTCGCTAACCGGGTAACCGAACCCTGGGGCTCGTGAATTGGTGAGCTGCCGTTACCCAAAGGAAGATCGGGGCGCCTGGGATCCTGCCGTCCGGGGCATGTAGCTTGGATAGCTGTCCAGGCTAGGGTGATTGGGAGAGATCGTGTCTTGCCCGTATCAAGCAGGCCCCGGCCACTACGCAAACGTCGGCCGGTCCCTGGCTGGCAAAGCGAAACTTCGGAAGGGCACGGTCTGGGCAGCGACGAGCATGTGCAAGTACGGGTGAGACCGCGCAGTCAGCAAGCGTGTAACCTAATGAGCTTGCATTGATGATAGAACTGCTACTTTTGCAATCAGTCGGTGCGGTGATGGAGTAGTATCGTCGCGGGTGGCAGATAATGGTCTCGGAGCCACACGCTGTGAAGATTATTGGATGTCTGTCCTCAGTCAGCAGACACTGAAGACTTCTGAAGATCTAGCGCATTGACTTTGAGATTCTGCGTCCATGCGTCGTCGGGGTGTTCAGATTGCACCAGGCTCTTCTGCAAATCGGAGGCAAGCTTCCTCTGCACCGTCGCTTGGACAGCCACTGGTAATATAACAGCCGAAACAGTTACCAGTATTTTTCCTCAGGGTAACTTCATTCTTGTACTTAAACTTTTGTACACCGAAGTCGTGTTCTAATTGTTGTATGGGCTGCTTTGGCTTCTGACCTGCCAAGCGCCGTAAAAAAATGCGTCTGCCCACCAAAAGGCGGGGGAGTTTTGGGGTATCCCATGTGCTGTAGCAGTAACAGTTCATTCAGGCCTTCGTCTCAAGCAGCATAGATTCGGAACAGGACCTGCAACGAGAGAAGCATGGGCCGCGAGAGAGGGAAGAGAAAAGCTAAAGCAACACACCTCGCACTCGTCACAGCACCTCAAGCCCTGCGAAAGAAAGACATCACTTCCAGCAGTGGTACATCGGTCCCGCCTCTACAGATGTGAAGCTCGAAAGACCCAAGCCCAAGCACATAGTAAAGCGCAGTGGTAGAAAGTACGAGCCCGAATATGCTGGTCAGACAGGTTGAAGGGTTTCCTAGTCCATGCGAGGACACGTCTGAAAGGCAAGTCTACTCTATTGTAGGTTGGACAGCCATACAAGATCTCGGAAAGTTGATCCGAATGTGTCGGCCAGAAATGGAAATTAAGCTTGCCATTATGCTACAGGAACGCTTCTTACCTAACACGCTTTGTCATGTAATGGCAGTTTCTGAACTAACATGTCTCATCATCAGCCCGAGTCCGACAGCGACCCTGTCACAGATCCGAGATGCATGCAAAATCTGCAGTTGTCGGACTTGACAGCAGGCGCTCAATAGGTCTCATGCACACCTCGTGGGCATGTTGATTGGCTTTTTCTGAACAAGACTTTCCCGGTTCCAACAATAAGCTACAACAGGTACCTGTTAGAAGGCTGGTCAGAATTTTAGAGTCCTACTGCAAATGCTGAACATCCAGACCCACTTCGTAGCCCGCCCCTGCACCAAGCTTCATCACGTTTACTGGTCGCCTTTTTGCAATCTGCCGCTTTCAGGCATCTGCGAGTGGGCTCGCACGTGCGTTTGCATGGTTCAGCCCCCAGTGCAGCAGTGAACTGGCGCAGGAAAGCGGTTTTTGCGGGGCTGTCTGGTAAATCCATAACATATGGTTTCCGGCAGGATTTGTTCCCTTGCTTGCTGCTGAAATTACGGTGATTCTATGCACAAAGCACGATGTTTTCCGAAGGTGTGCAAGCTAAACCCTGATGCGAAATTCTTTCCCTGTTGGCCTTCTTTGCAATGCTCCTTCAAGTGTGACTGCCAAGGCGATTTAACCCAACCGTTCCGCACCTCCACTCATTGGCCTCGCTGCGGGGAGCAAGCAACGCCTGGACAAAACGCCGTCGCAAATGTTGGCCTTGATCCCTTGCTTGGCGCCAGCAGCGCCACCACCCAATTTGTGGCCCGAAAGCTCAGACCAGGAGAAACAAAGGCCTGCACTTTCTGCAGAGTGCAACACGGAACACGGACCGGAGTCATGCACATCACATGCGCCTCGTTCGAAGGATGTAATGCTGATTCGAGAATATGCAAGCTAGACGCAACGCCCCGGTTGTATGTTGTGCCAGCGTAGCACTGCATACAGGATATGAAACGGGGTGCATTGTGTTTATCTTGAGAACTGCTGTGCATCCATGTATGTGTGTATATATATATATACATATATATATACATATACATATACATATACATATACATGTACATGTACATGTACATGTACATGTACATATACATACATACATACAAAGGTTGTAGGAATGCAGAAAACGCTATACACGCCGGTAGACGGCTCTTTTGAGATACAATGTCCAATCGATTCCTACAGCTACGGGCTCTGAGGCCTCGAAAAGCGACCCGAGCTGAATGGCTCGTGCGGTCGCCTTGCGGTCTGGCGCTTTGTGTCTTACTCACCTTTGGTCAGTAGTGAATGACAGGGGCGTTATAAAGGGGTCTATAAGGGTTACTATAAGGGATCTATAAGGGTACTATAATATGGGGGCCTTAATAATCCTATAACTCAACTTTGGTCAGTAGGGTATGGAGGAATGGGGTACAATTACAACTACTATTACTACCATTCTTCCATTCCCTACTAACCACAGGTAAGCTAAGCATTCGCCGAAGTCTTGGGTTATTTTACGGCTGTGTGTGTGTGTGTAGGTGTATAGATACAAATTCAAGAATAGAGGAATGTGTATCATCATTATATCTCGCATATGCATACAAAAGTCCGTAGGGAGCACTTAGCTGGCTTGCTAGATTCTGCCATGTCTTATGACACCAGATAGTGTACCCTGTATGCCGTTGTGGTCTGATGCCATGGAATCGTGTGACACTCGAAATTGACGAGTGATTTGTCGCGCCATGAAAGGTGCATTGCAAGCCTTGTACCGAACGAACCCAATCCCACCGCCCGACGCCCCTACTTCGTCGGGAGCAGGCATTTTGGGGGTGAATGGCCTATACATGCTTGCAAGACTGCGGCTTCTGTCTGGCCTGCACGTAGCTTTTTCAGTGACGACAGTTTCCGCTGTTTGGCCGGGCTTTCATGAACTCCCCTCAGGATCCTTATTTCGGGAACCCGAACCCAGCCTCCAACCAGCCTCAGAGGTGCCAAGCTGTTGTCTTGCGTGTGAACTCTGATGGCTCCAGCGGCTTTCACATGGGGAGCGGGGTATGGCGGCACTAGCTCCGTCAGCTACGGCCAGTGCACCCGGGCAGCGAAATGGATCTAAGCAAGGCATGATCTTCGCAGTTCCAAGGCTGAGATTCAGCAACAACTTGGAGGTTTACGGACAGATTCGAGTGGTGGGAGTAGTCTGAAGATGATGGTTTGTTAGCTTGAGGTTAACGAGGTCCATCGGTCAAGCACCCGAGAGACCCTGCCACCAAGCACGATAAGATGTGCTGCTATGCATGGTACAGCGGCAGCGTGCTCTCTCATCTTTATCGCCTTCCACCCAGTCGTTCGACCCGTCGCTCAGGCATCATATCGAGTTGGTCAAGCCGTTCAGGTGCTCTCTAAGTCCAGCAACGTGGCCCGCTCTGCAAGTTCGGAGGGCTTTGAAGTGCGGTGTCTCAGACCTGGGACTCTGCACCACGACTTCAGGGAATTTCAATGTGACATCTGTCGGTAGCCTCCGGCTTTCTAGAGTCTAGAGTGTTCTCCTGATTTGCAGTGCCTGCAGTTGTGGCTCCCTCGTCTTGTGAAGCCCCCTTTGCCTAGAGCTGCATTCTTCAGGGCAAGCCTCCAAAGTCGCAGCACCGGCTAGCCCTGCTCTGGTGAGTACATTCTCATGATAGCTCCGGGAAGGTGCTTGCGATTCGGCAGTTTTTTTGTTTTGCTGGGGTGGATTACCCGAGTCTGCTCCGTGACCTGTCCAGGCCTGGGTAGATGCCACGATCCACCAGATACTGCCAGACAAGGGTATATGGGTTCGGCAATCCGGCGGCAGAAGCCTAGATGTTTTTTCTTGTTTGGAGACGGCTTCCGCAAGATTCATAAAATGCTGAAGCTTGCGGGATGGTGGTCGAGCATTGCACTGGACACTCTGTCAAGATACTGAAGAGGCGCAGCCTTCGAAGTCATTTTGTGTTCCCAGCCTCTGCACATTCATCATCAGCATCTCACAAATTTGGGATCTGACATGGGCTTCGGCTTGAATCATCCGCCAGCCAAGGTACGGGAACTCTCACAAGGTGATTCCGCCTGAGCTCCTTGAGTTGAAATTTCTGGTAGCTTTGGATATGCTTCGGGAAGCTGCAGGAGGAGCTTTTGCGGGAAGTGACTGCTGCACGGCTTTGCTCAACTGCTTCTTGATGCCCTCCAACTCTTACGACACCTCAGCATGTAGGGTTTGATATCCTCCAACTCTTACGACACCTTAGCATGTCGGGTGCTCCGCGTGCACGACATACCATAGATGCTCGGGTAGCCTGTTCTTGAAACCGAAGTATGTACTTGAACCCGTGCCGCAGGCTACAGCCATCAGCGCTAAGATGCAAGGCCGCCCAAGAACCCACAGAATATGCTCTTGGCCAGCGCGTCCAGGTGCTGCTTGGCTGAATCTTGCAGTCTACGACGTAGGCTCGTTTGGGATGCACCACTCCCCCCGAAAGAACGACCTTCGATGCCGCGGTGCAGACGCTCCACTGGTGCTTACAGCAGGGGCCGAGTTTGCAGGCGTCAGCCATGCCAACAACTGAACACGACGTCAGAGCATTGTGGCTGACACTGCTTACGGTCGCATCTCCGCAATCCATCCATCAGCTCGCTGATTCAAGGCCCCACGGCCTCGGGCTCTGTCCCCTTCTGAGCACAAGTGGCTTGTCAGGTTTTCGAAGACCAGCCAGCAGTGGGTACCTGGCATCGTGCGCGAGATTTGGCCGGATGGTTCTCTTCATGTCCAATACGAGCACGCGCAGCATCCGGGCTGCAACGTACGAGGTCTAGATCTCTTCTCCTTGTCAACATGTGCCGCAACGATGTTCAAACGTTCGACTAGTGACTAATCGGGTAGAGCAAAGGCAAGCACGTACAGCCTGATGGTGGTAGCGCGGTGCCGGCGAGCTGTTGAAGGGGAAGCCCCGATGAATTCTGTGTGAGGGACTCCGGAGATTCAAGACTGCACGCCAGACGAATGCTTAAAGCTCTTCGCTGACGCTGGCTGCGAAGTCAAAGCCGATATGAGGTGCCACCGTAGTGCTCTCAAGCATCTAAATGTCTTCCGCTCGGACTCATCGAAGACGAGTGGATTTGCAACAAGACAGAACGCCTGCTAGAAGGAGGTGTGGTTCTAGCAGCCATGGTACAAACTGGATCCGCAAACTCCCCAGGGCTTGCGGAGCCATCTGGCCAAGCAAGCTTGGAAAACATCGCCGCCATCGGACTCATATTCGTAGATGGGGTAACCTCTGGAGATTCGGGATCCGGATAGAGTCTGCCACTGATTGAGTCAGCCAAACGTCACGTTCTTGTTGCTCTCATCAGATCGTTGTATGACCCTTTCCGCTGATGGTGGGCTGCTGCATGAGTGAGCATGCATGCTTCAGGTGTTGTGAGGCTTGCTTTCATTGACATCCGCCGTCGGGCCGTCGGGGATTCATGAGATTTACAAGCCGAAGCCGCAGCTATGCTTTTATTATGATTATGGTTATGATGATTATTATTACTATGACTACTTTGATTGCTACTATTATTACTATTATTATTACTACTATTATTATTATTACTATTCTTAGTACTATTATTTTTATTATTATTGAAGTAAGGCACTTGTACAAAGTCCTCGCTCCAGAGCTCCTTTGCTGCATTTGATCTGTCGGAGAGCCTTGGCGTTGAGTGCATCTTTGAGGGGGGGCTGAGGGGTCCTTGTACGGTCTGGTTCCCAAGTAAGGCTGCAGGGCTCCATGCTCCGAGCTTCTGGGCAAATCGCGGAGCCGGACACGCAGGAAGAGGGAGGAGATTCGCGAGTAGCTGCCTTGGTCGAGGAGGCTGAACGTCTCAAAGCAACCATTGCAAAGCAGCAAGAGGAGATCAGTGCTCTGCAGCAGAGACAAGCACAGCCGGCCGCGGCGGCTGTGGCCCAGAATGCACGTGGGCTCGTGCAGGTCCAGCTGCAAACTAGACAAGATCAGACACCACAGCAATCCGATCATGTGCAGCCGCAGCAACAGCCCTTGCAGCCGCCCCAGCAAGCGCCACAGCAGCAGCAACAGCAGCGACGAAAGCCAAGCGCACCTGCGCCTTTTGCCGTGGTTCAGCCGAACGGCTTTGCAAGGGCGGTCGAAAACCGAGAAGAGGAGAACTGGACGTGCTCGGTGTGCACTTTTGAGAATGTGGAGCCCCTGACCGAGTGTGAGATGTGCGGCACGAAGCGTTCTTCCCCCAGCTCTCCGCAGCGAAAGAGACTGAAAAAGAGTCCTCCTGACATCGTCGAGGTGGATGCCTCTTGGCCGCACGTGATAAACTCGCAGAACTCCGATTGACCCCGAACCCAAGCTGGTTTACAACATTCTACAACTTGGTGTCGTGTCCCGATGCCAACAAAAGGTGCTGTTCCGCCCATTTCATGTGGCTTCGCCTCCTTTAACCCCGATATAGATGCTGATACTAAGGCTGTGTTGGATCATCCCAGCCGCCAGAATGCTCCGGAGGTAACAGCAGGCAGAATGCTAGGGAGGTTGCATCGAATGGCTTTGCAGATGCTTGGACTGGCATGCGACGTCTTGGTCGAGCTCAAGGAATTAACGTTTCTAAGTATTTCAGATGCATCGCATGGATCATGGATGCCTTGCGCAATCCCTCTACCACCCCCTTGTGAAGGGAGCTCAAAACTCATGCGTCGGCACGGAGTGAGCAAACCGGTCCTGTGTGGCGAGGCCCCGCCGAGTTCCTCCGCTGTGCCACCGCGGTGATTGAACCCGGTATCGGGGCCCGATCTGCGTCACAGGCAGCGCTTGTTGGGTTCGGGCTCCCGTGAAGTGGGAGGGTGACGGCAGACTTGCCCCTCATGCTTCATGTCCGTGAGCCCAACTCTCGAAATGCCAGGTGCAGGGCCCTGAAGACGAAGCCATGATCGAGGTTCCGGTGCCTGACTGCACCTAGGCTGCCGAAAGAGAGGGACTTCCATGCGACGATTGCATAGCATTCATTGCAGAAGGGGCGAGCCGTAGGACGGCCTCTTGGCTGTTTCTTATCGCCCAATAGTAGAATGTTCGTGTGCAACACGGAGGAGCCTGGATTCAGAGACCATTCCTGGACCCTCAAGTGTTACATTAATTTGTGTTACGTTTTATTTGTGCGCGTTTGGGGGCCTCTATTTGTAAAAGCGCACGTTTTCAGGGCTGTTAGATTGAAAAGCGCTCGGATTTATTCAAGTAGGCTCTCGGTGCACAAGACATACAGCACAGCACATGGCGCAGTGCCCGAGGGATGCTCTTTCCTGCCGTCGCAATCAGTGCCGGAACGGCTTCCATCGGCGTCGATACTGCATGAGAGCAGTTTGAATTACACGTGTGGCCAATGTGAAACTGTGGCATCGTCTTGCAATGCGACATATCCTGCCAATATAGTCTTCGTCTTGCCAAGTGCTGAAGCCTAGGCCAACTGATTGATTCAGTTCAACGGGCTTTCGGTGGGCTTGGAGGGCCAGTCGGACAGTATACGTGTACCATTACGTACAAGGATTCTTATATAAAGTCAAGGCACAGGCTGGGTTGAGTGCTGGCTTAGCCAGGGCAGCCGCAATTTCGATATCCCGCCTTAGATCAACCTAGACCAGCTTATCTAATAACCTAGCTAGTTGAGTAGCTATATAAAGCGAGCACCACGTCTCAACATAGCTTAGATCGTAATCCGAACCTGTAACGAGGCAAAATCCCGACTAGACCTAATGCTATGGGCCATTTAACTAACATAATAAGGCTATAACGATCGTATCGTAGCATATGTAAACAATTCCCGAGTTTCAGCACACATCAGTCCAAGTGGCAGTATGTGTTGTTGAAGGTGGATTTTTGGTCTAATCCGAAACAATCTCCAGGAGAACTTTGCAGCCATAATGGCCAACTGGCCATATCCTTCCTAAGGTGTGCAGGCGACGGGTAACATCGGGTAACCTGGGAGCTATGGTGATATGATATCTAGATATCGAAGTATGCCTAAATCGACCTGAGACCCAACCTGTACGGGCTTACCAGTATATGATCTTCTGCACCCGGCGTCCGTGAACGGCCATCCAGCCGCTGCCGCAGCAGCTGCTTGGTTTGCAGGAAGGAACACACCGTTCGTGTAGATGATGTGGAAGTATGTGCAACTGTATGACAAAGTTCTGCGGAGGCATTCGAAGATTTCCTTGTAGTCTTCCGCCTAAGCTGTGTGATTTGCGGGTAAAGGACGACAAATCACGGTTTGGGTAGGGAGGCTAGTAAGGAAATAATAATTTAGGGTCGGGAGGCTATTGAGGCTGCATCCACATCGGCCAAACGCCAGTTCAACCAGCGTGCAATCAAACTCGCATCGTAGGCTTTCCCTGCACCACACGGCCAGGAGGCGGCCCTAGGCTAGCACGGACCGATATTGTTAGCTAGACTAACATGCGAAATATACTATAGGCCACCGGGTAGCTTCTTGAGCTTGAAAGTCTTTTCCTTGTTGAAAGAGATCAAGCTTGTTGATAGCTTGTTTTCAGAGAGCCATGCTCGGAACTCGTCGAAGGCAATTGCCAACCTAGCATCCATCGAGCGGCCTCTCCAAAAGTTAATGCGGGATAGAAGCAAGACTCCTGAAGCCGCAAAATCCTTGCCAAAACCGCAACCGTAGATGTGCATCTGGTCCGGGCGAGCTCGCAAAGGACCCTCTAAGCCAGGGATAAGTCGAATTGTAGCAGCTGGTTCATCCTGCTTGAACGGATCATCCCCAGAATCAACTGCCCAATCTCGCACATCGGTGTTGCCGGCGCCCAGGTTCCACCATTCCTATTACATTAACCAAAGCGGAACTTATATGAAGAAAGTATATCAAGCTAAGGCCAAACAGGTACTTAAAGCCAAAACTCCACAAACCCCCAAACCCTATCAAAATAGAACTGCTACAATAATATCGGAAGTTCTAGAGATCCCTGTCCGGCAAGAGTCTGAACTCGGACATAAATGGCAGATCCTGAGGCTTGTAAAGCCTGTGGCTAGCCGAAAGCATTTTCGAATGTACGGCCAGTCGCCTTTGACTCCGACACAGGCTGCGTGCAGCTTGTATCGGACTCCATCCACATGCACCTCGGCGGCTTCCCAACATATAAGCGGGTTTATGGTGACGACTTGATCTTAATTTATAGTTTGGGGTCTCGATGCACAACAAGTAGCGGTAATACCCGTTTCGAAAAGCTCTTTGCAATCTGTAGCCATACGTAGGTTCAGATCATCCAATGAGCTTGGGGCATAATCGGCGCTGGAGATAGCTGTGTACAGCAGACGGGTCAAAAAGACATGCCTCGGTAAATTCGGTGTGTGGTAACCCTCGTACTTATCGGTCAATATAGCAGACACAAAGCAGCTTAAAAAAAATTCTACCTGCATCAGCTGCCCCTTCAAATTGGTAACCTTCATACCACGACGAGATATGACTGGGCAAAATGATTCCACCATGACAGGGGTCTTGTTCCGTCCACGGCCTTCATCCCCGTGTACAGTATATGGCCAATACAACCCCAGGTCTGTACCGTCGGGCAAAGAGTATATCGGGTGGCTGGGATCGATCACCTTGTATGATTTCCAGAATCTGCGGAAAGTACGTTGCCATCGGTCGGGGTCCGATATGTGACTGCCACCCAAAAACAGTTTGCTTGCATTCGACAAACCAAACTGCAGCCATGTCGATAACAACAATACTGGCCAGAGCACTCTTGTAAGCGTCTTTCTACCCAGTCGCTTCTTGACCGAGCACTCAGCCATGTCCACTTGCAGTGGCAGGGTTTTGCCCCTTCGGTGTACCAAGTTGTGCAAGTTCCTACGGATATTCTGTTCCCCCGGGTTGTTAACGATGCACGAAGCCATTGCATCCATAGCTTCATCTGCAACACCTACCAAGGTGGCAAGCGCGTATGTAAAATGCTAGGGTGATCCTAGGGATTTAGGATTGGGGGTTTGGGGCAGCTCAGGTACCCAGCTGACGGAAGCGCTTGGATGCAGCTGCTGCAATGCGAACGACTCGTCGAGCTGATTCAGCCTCGGGCTGCACTTCAGAAATCCGGCCACTGAGATTGGAGTACATGCATAGACCGATGAAGCCCAGAAGCCCCATCTTCGAAGATCTGCATAAGCTCTTGCTCTAGTTCGTGCTCCGAACCTGAAGCGATCGCGAAAGCAGCAGCGAAGCAGGGCCAAGCTCGACATGATAAGGTTACTCTGGGGATCTTAGGTTCTGGGGCGGCCTTCACCGCTGTCTGATGCAGCATCTTGGCCACAACCTGCAACGAGGGCAGATGAGTGTTTCAAGATGTGAAACCGCATGCCGGTACATTCTTGATCGATCGCTTGCAAGCAGCCAGTCTTGTTTTATGCTCTCCGAATCCGAAACTCAGCAACTAGCTTCATGCTCCCGTTCGAGCTTGTAAGTCCTATAGATCGAGATGATTGATCAAAAGGGCAAAATTGATTGAATCAATTTTGCAAGCATCACATGAGGTTCAGCCCCATGTGCCCCAAAACCACTCGTAGCTCTAGGTCTCCTTCGGCTCACTTCTTGGTTTTTTTCTCCGACTTGTCCTTCTTGGCCTTCTTTTCCTTAGCCTCCTTCGGAGGCTTGCCACCAGTCGAGGAGGGTGTCGACTTGATGTTCCTCGGCTACGGATTAGGGTTAAGGGCTTTGGGGGACTAAGCACCAACCTACCTGGTAGCCCGAGTGTCTTGGATCGCTGCAGAATGTTCGACAGTGCAACATCAAGCCGGGTGCACTCCACATATGCTTTCTGCAAGTCTTGCTTTGCATCCCTGCAGACCGCATGTGTTATGTCAGTGGCGACACAGCAACTGCAGGCTGGCACGTCGAACGTCATGTGGCCTCTCGGAAACTTGCTCCGAGATTAAGGATGCCTGCAACTTGGTCATCTTCTCGTAGCAAGCTTGCATAGCATCGAGGATAGTACTCACACCGTTGGCAAGCCTCGGGGATTTGTTCGGAGGTTTTGGGTGTAGGCCTTAGCTAGCTAGGGTTTTGCGGGGCCTTCGTTCGGGTTCAAAACTTAAGTATTACAGCCTAGCTGCAGTTGGGCGCGTGGGCAGCTGCTCTTTTCAAGCTTTTCCTGCAACGGGAGCTAGCATGCGCGTGTGCACAAGTACGGGTACGTGCATACATGCAAGCGGGTCCTTGGAATCCACCCCCAAGTCAATCTTCTTGCCCAACGTTTGTACGAAGGCAGGCAACAGATTCACAAGCGAAGATGTTTGCGAAATCGTTGGGAAAGTCAGCCTGAGTATCGTTCACAGAGAGAGAGAGAGAGAGAGAGAGAGAGAGAGAGAGAGACAGAATGAATGAATGAATGAATGAGGAAGAGAGAGCGAAGGGAAAGGGGAGAGGAAGAGACAGGGAGAGGAGACGGAAGCCAGAGAGGGGGAGAGAGAGAGAGAGAGATAAAGAGATAAACAGAGAGAGAGAGAGAGAGAGAGAGAGAGAGAGAGAGAGAAGAGAGAGAGGGAGGGAGAGAGGGAGGGAGAAAATAGATAGGTTGATCATGAGAGAGAGAGAGAGAGAGAGAGTAGGGAGATAGATTGAGAAAGGAAACAAAGGGAGCGAGAGATAGCGTTTCATATGTGCTCCTGGTGTATCGTTGGAGCACGTATGGGAAAATATAGAGTGAGAGAGAGAGAGAGAGAGAGAGAGGTTGAGGAAAACGGTGGAGAGGGAGACAGAGAGACAGAGAGAGAGAGAGAGAGAGAGCGAAAGAGAATAAGACAGGGACACAACCAAATAGAGAAGGGAAGGAGAGGCAGAGCAAGACATCGATCATATAATGTGAGCCAAAAGTCTTGAAACTCCCAGATGCAGCAGCACATGCATTCAAAGCCTGCTGAGCTTGTGAGCTCGATCCATCAGCCCCAGTGC